CAGCGAGTTAAGACCTTTTAAGGACGGGTGGGATTTGGGATTTTTATGTTCTGTTTAGGTTGTATTAATATATCTGTATGGAAATTTTAATGTTGTAAGCCGCCCCAATTGCTCTGCAGAGGGGCAGGATATAAATTATTATTATTATTATTATTATTATTATTATTATTATTATTATTATTATTATTATTATATTTAGGCAGGCCTTTGATTTTAATCATATGGCAGAGTAGCATTCAAAGATGTGTGCTTCTGTTTGTATTTTGTATGTTTGTAACTACACTGTAAATGTATTTTACTGCTGTTTTTCTAACTATGTATTTTTTGTATCTTTTTTTATGAAAGATTTTCAAACAATCCAAAAGAATAAGTTTAGCAAAGGAAAAACAAAACAGCAAAATGTGGATGTGGTTTTTGTTATACAGGTTGAATCTTTCTTACCCAGAATTCTTAAATCAGAAATATTCTAAAACCAAAAGCCTTTTTCATAGCTGGCTGAAATAGTGACACCTTTGCTTTCGAATGGCTCAATGTACACAAACTTGGTTTCATGCACAAAATTATTAAAAATATTGTATTGCCTTCAGGCTATGTGTATAAAGTAGATATGAAACATAAATGATTTTTGCATTCAGACTTGGGTCCCATCTCCAAAATATCTCATTATGTAAACAGATTCTCGTAATTGGAATATGGCAAGTACATTGGGCCTTTGGTTTGGTTCCAGGATCTCCAATGGATGTCAAAATTTGCGGATGTCCAAGTCTCATTAAATACAATGGCGTAGTATGTAAAAGATCTCTTATATAAAATGGCAAAATCAAAAGTCTGCTTTTTGGATATATTTTTTCAAGCTGTGGATGGCTGAATCCACGGAGAAAGAACCCATGGATACAGATGGCCAACTGTATGCCAAAATCCCCAAAAGTCAAAAATTGAAAATACGTCAAGCTTTTTGATTCTGCACCCGTAGTATATTTTTAGTTAAACTGTTCTTTCCCATTTTGTAATCTGCTTTGCAGGAGAATTAAGGCAGGACATTAATTAAAATAAGACTGGCTTATTGAGTGGCTGAGGCACCCAATTGTTTTAAAGATGAATTCTTTACGGTTAACCGACAATTGCTTGGAGGACAGGGAAGGGAGGCTAGTTCCTTTGCATTAAATGGAGGGCACCCCGTCCCCACAAGTCCTTTTAGAGGGCTTTGGCAGGCAGAGTCCTGCCCATTTCACGGCAGGAGGGAAATTCCTGGATTGCACAACCTTTTCGCTGAACATGTCCTGTCTATTGAAATTCTGGGCATTTCGATATTCGAGAAGTTGGCCAGCACACAAAAATGTATACACAAATGACACTCTCTCCAGTGCGGCTCATGAGTCCGTCTTGGAGGCTGTGAATTAAAATTTCCCTTGCCAAGCTAGGAATATTTTTAATGGTTTAAAATGAATTAATTAAAATGTATTGACAGTCCGTCTATGGCACTACTACATCCTTTCTGCTCCCCATAGCCAGAAACTCCAGGTGGGTTGGACTACAACTCCCATCAACCCCAGCCAGCTGCTGCCTAGGGGGAGCGGAAAGGGTCCCTTAATGAAACAGAGAAATAATCAGTTTATTTATAATTTTTAAAAAAATAACTATAAAATGCTTAATGCAAATCTACAAGACCACCTATTGTCTTCTGTTGAATGCTGGCTGGGGTTGATGGGAGTTGTAATACAACCCTGGAGCTGCTGGCTGGGGTGAGCGGGGAGGGTTCCATAGTGACACAGAGAAAGAACCAGTTTATTTGTATTTTAAAAAAAGAAATATAAAAAGTTTAATGCAAATCTCTGAGACCACCTATTCTCTTCTGTCAAATGCTGGCTAGGGTTGATGGGAGTTGTAGTCCAAGCCACCTGGAGCTGCTGGCTGGGGGGAAGTGGGAAGGGTTCCCTAGTGAAACAGAAAGAACTAGTTTATTAATATTTTTAAAACATGAATATTAAATGCTTAATGCAAATCTCTTCTGTTGAATGTTGGCTGGGGATGATAGGAGCTGTAGTCCAACCCACCTGGAGCTGCTGGCTGGGAAGGGCAGGAAGGTTCCCTAGTGAAACAGAGAATGAACCAGTATATTCATATTGTGTGTGTA